GGCAGGACCCTTTCCCTGCTCAGATGTGCCTTCAGGAGCCCGCACCCCTGTGCAAGAGCCCAGACTGGTGTGTCCCCTTGATCCTGCGCTCCCCTCTGGAGCCATGGCACACCAGTTTATGGATGCAGAACTATGCAGGGCGAGGGCAAACTCAACCTGTGTGAGAAAACTGTGTCACACGTGCCTCTGCGTAAAAGCATGCACCCAGGTATTTATGGCATACCTCAGGCAGGGTGCCTTCCCACCCTGCCTCTCCTCGCCCCCGCACAGTCATACCAGTCAGCCTGGCTCCCCGGAGGCACTGTGCCTCTCACCCCGCTGCGAACCTGCGCCTCCATTCTGCTAATGACACAGCAGGCGAGCTGCCACGGGGACAACGTGACTCCAGAAGCTGCAGCCTGGAAAAAAAAAAAGTAACCAACCAAACAGCCCTAAATGTGCACAATCAAGTGATGAGTGTTTGTATTTCTGATGCTTTGAGGCCAGCTCACAACCCTCCCTCCACATAATATTCAGGATGTTTGGGAAGGGGTATTTTTCTTTTAATAGGATGGCATAGTCACAAAGCTTTAAAGAAATAAGTGAGTGAATCGTCCATGGTAATAGCAACATAATACGAAAGGGGCACAGAGACGACGTTCAAGTCTATTTTTAAGACTGCCTGGCAGCATGTAGGTGCAGACAAGAGTCCGTGATCCTTTCTGCTGTTCTGAAGCTATGGACATGGCTGATGTCTCTGTCCCAGTTCAACGTCAGAGTTGTTTTTGCTTCCTAACGAATACTACGGGAAGACAGAGAAGCCTCAAGCTGTTTTGAAGATTGTGCAACGATGCTTGGGAGCCTACCTGCTTTTGCTTGAGTGCTTTCCTTGCTCACATTTCACAGGATGCGACAGGAAGGGAAATACAACCAAATCGGACGGCCCTGGTAATTGGACTCGAATCCTTCGTATGCCCTGGGGGTGAGGTGGGTGCCTCTCAGATAAGCAATCTAATCAACTTTGCACTTGTGTCCCATCTGGAAACAGATTGTTGCCGAAGTACACCACCACCTGAGAAGCAAGCTTCGGGTTTTTTTTGAAGATAATTGTACCAGCAAAATCAGGGAGTGTGAATTTGCCTGAGGTAATAAGATCTCTTTATTTTTATTCATAGTTAATTCGTTCAGCCGAGGCGATTTCACGCCAGAATGCAGTCTCCAAACAAGAAGGACGATTGCACTGCCTGCGCCGCACATATGCATGGTGCCTGCCCGGCAGATCGACTGCTGCGACAAAGAGCCATGAGCCACTCCAGACACATGGGCAAGATAAGGAAAAGGCTGGAGGATATCAAGAACCAGTCCCCGAAGTTGACAAAAGCAGATTTCAGCCACAATGAAAGCATAAGGTTGGCCACCGACGCCTTCCTGGACGGTGGGACAGACTCTTACCTCAAAACTTTAAGCAAAGAGGGCGAGGTGGATTTCCTCTCCTCGGTGGAAGCTCAGTACATCAAGGATAATGCCAGGGAGTCCTATTATGCACAGGAGTCCCTGGCCACCGACGGGGTGGCTGCGACAAAGCAGAACGATGCCGGGTCGCTCCCTTCAGGGACCTACTTCCCCACCATTTCTGACAGCAGTGAGCCAGCTCTGCTGCACACATGGATTACAGCGGAGAAGCCCTATTTAAAGGAAAAATCCACTGCCACTGTGTATTTCCAAACAGAGAAGAACAGCAACATTAGAGATATCATACGCCGGTACATCAACAAGACCACTCAGGTATGGGGAGAGAATTGCTGTTCCCTCTGCACTCGGTTGTCTTCCTGCTCTTAAAAAGATCAGGTAAACATGGTGTTTGATCCAAGCCAGCCTTGTGCGTTGCAGTGTAGCTTTGCCCTAGAAAGTGGCTGTAAAGAGCCTGTTGTTGAACACAGGCAGTGCTTTTTTTTTTTTTTTTGTACTCACACCAACACCTTTTTATGTTGGTGACTTAAAAAAAAAGGTATTCCCTCTTCTTTTAAACTCCCCTTTGCTCTCCTTTGGCAGAGCAAATGTGCCATAGAAAGGGCAGCTGGGCTCTATCCCTTCTTGTGTATCACCAGCAGGATGGTTTGCTCCATTCAGACCACTGCACCGGTAATGAGAATTAAGCTAAAGCGAGCTCTGAGCCATTAGCAATTGTTTTAGGGGATTCATGGGAGATGTGAGTGAAGGAGAACCCGGAGGACGGCATATGTGTCGTGGTGTGCTAGCAGCCATCCCCAGAGGAAGGAAATTATTCAGAAAAAAGACCTTTTATCCCTGATACATTGTCAGTGTCGCTAAGAATGCCACATGGGCTTCGTACAGGGACTCTGCAGCATAACTTGGCATGTGGGAAAGGTGCAGATGACGCCCCTGACAACAGACAAGTGACAGAGGGGCCACAGGGAGCTGCCAGCCGCAAGCCAGGCTGCCCATGCACTGGGAAACCAGAAGCTGAGCAGCTGGAGGGTGACAAAAAGTCTCTGTCATGTGTGTTCAGGCAGCTCTCCTGTTTTCCTGGAAAAAAAATATTTGACATTTCAGGGCTATGTTTACCATCATCCAGGAGTTTTCCCCTTGTATAAACTTGAGACGCCACTAGCATTTTCACAGGGGAACAGCCAGGAACAAAACCATGCTGTAGTGCCTGCTGTCCGGCACAGGCTGCGAAGCCCGCTGGAGTTAGACTTTCACTTTATTATTCTCAGGCAAGGGCAAGTGCTGGGTCTGATAACGCTGAGTGTAATGGCAGGGGAGAAGAATCCCCGTTGGCAACTGCCCTGTCAAAGGCTGCAAGTGGTCAGCACATGAGGGGAATTATAGATCAGTCATTTTAGGTTGGCGGCATCAGAAAGATACAGTAACAGAAGAAATGTCTCTGGAATAATAAAATAAGCATCAGGTAAAGTATCAACCCAGGCCAATTTTCTGTCCCAAGAGGAGAAAACTTGTAGGGGAAAAAGAGGGAAAAGTAATATAAATCCATGGTTCACATGACCTTCTTAACTGTCTAATTTACATTACAAGAGGGTGCTGGAACAACACTTACTCACAGTGTAAATTTGGCAACTGCTTTTTGAGTACAGTTTTTCAATGGCAGTATTCATTAATTAGTATCTGATAAGGGTCTATCCTGGATAGCCTAGTGTTTGATATATCCATTAACGACTTAAACAACGGAATAAAGACTGTGTTTGTGGATGACATCAAACTGCAAAGGATTGGCGAGTAGTACTATAATCTTAGCACATTTGTGGAATGGTCACGAATCATAAAATTAAATTCAGGCAAAAGAAGCAAGAAGTACTGCAAGTAAGAGAGGAAAGTCAGGTGCAGAAATACAAATTGGGAACAGCTGGTGAAAAAGCAGTACTAGAGAGAGTGGTCTGGAGCTACTGGATGCGGTATTGTGCCGTTTGAAAAGACAAGGTGAGTTAACAGTAAGTGTGGATGTGAGATATTGGACATAATTGTGCCACTTACCTAGCACTGGCAAGGCCCTTTCTGAAGCACTGTGCTTTGGCAGCAGAAGCAAGGTGTGGGATCCTTGCTGCTCTGCGAATAATCTGGCTTGCCTGAACAGGGTGCTGGCTGCACAGGACGTGCTTGGTCTTGTAGGATTTCCTCGTGGGGGTGAAGGGAATAAGCTTGCTGGCAGGTGTGGGCACAGGCTTTGGAGTAAGATTCAGTGCAAGCTGGAAGCAATTAGTAACACAGATCTGCAGAGATACTGTGAAGTTTGTTTTGATTGAAGATGGTATCTTGTGAATGCAATTATCAAGGGTTCCCTTTCTAGTGCATACAGAAATAGGCACCTTCTGAAGATAAGTCAGGTATTAGCTGGACTGAATTGCCCTAGGGAGATGACCCTTCCCATGGACAACAGCAGACGTCAACGAAAACCAGCACCTTCATGAGGCTGTGCCCAACGCTGAGCATAGGGGCTAGAGTATGGAAGTGGGTTTATATCACATTTACTGTTCCCTCGATCCACGCTGGCTGGAGGCTGTGCATTTAAGTACCTGTTGGGGCTTTTATGGCCAGTCATGAGACTTTTACACACTGTCCTGCCAATTGTGACTTCGGAAGCATGGATGTATGGTTAAAATGAAACAATTAGTTTATAAATCATTATAAAAAACAAAAAAAGATGGAGCTGTTGCAGTCTGTCGCTCCATCACCAACGACAGAGTGAGGATATAAAGCCAGGACCGTTCCAGGTGTAAGTTGTAACAGAGAAAGTATCATCCAGTGATTCTTGCATGTGACTTATGAAAGCTAGTCAGCTGTTTGGCAAGGGCCGTGGTCTCTTATTTTAGCTGCATCCTTATTATTCTCCGATTAGCACTTCAATATATTTCCTAGTGCTGAAATGTCACCCACAAATTCATGGGTCATCTTGTATTTTATGATTAAAAGAGCTTAACTGAAGTGCGTATGTTGTGTGTTATATTGGCTTTATATGAACAATAAAACAATGACGCAACATGTCTCATCGATTTACTGATTCAGGCACTTAGGGAGAAAACCAGAAGAAATATTCACATATATCTCCGAAGATTTGCGTTTGCTGGAATTTTTTTTTTTTCCTAAATAAACTACATTTCAGTGGCCTCACAGGCAACCTTAAGTTATGTAAATTGACTCTGCTAATGCCTCTGCTTTTTCCCCCCTAGGTGCTAGCTATTGTCATGGATGTGTTCACAGACACTGAGATTCTTTGTGACCTCCTGGAGGCAGCTAACAAGCGCATGGTGTTTGTCTACCTGTTGCTCGACCATGGCAATATAAATCTTTTCTCGGAGATGTGCGACAAGTTGCAAATTGCTGAGGATCTCTTCAAGGTACTGTGGGTCTGTGAAGCTCTTAGGCTCAGATTCATCTGCCTAACTTTAGGCACTCTGAGCTAGAAGCATGGTTATGCTAGGGTCAGTCCACCTTGTAATTAAAAGAGAGCAAGAGATTTCCAGAGGTAGCATTAGCACACCTAATTCCCCTCTGAAGATGCCTACATTTTTCCATGGATGTTACAGGAAGTTAAAGCATTTCCATTAGGTCCTTAGGTGAAACTAGTCTGGGCCCTGAAGTCTTAAAGCAGAGCTTAAGTCCCTTAGTAGACTTAGTCCCTTAGTCTAACGTAAGCATTACAACTGCTTCTGTTCAGTAACTCTGCAGCAGCTGTGGTCTGGCAGCGACGGGTAGCGGGCACACAAAACTCTTTTGCATGGCAATACCATGGTTGCACTAGGTGGTTTCTGATGAAACATGTTGTTAAAGCTCTGTTTTAAAGATAATGCCTCAAATTTAGCTGGCTGTTAGCTTAGTCCACATTCATGTCTGCCAGAGTGAACTGATCTTAAAAATAACCTCCTAGGGACCATTTCAGTTGTTGCCTGAGATGCTGTAGGGCACCTGTGGCATCTTCGTGGCGATGGCTGATACCGCAGAGGCAGCAGCCGTCTGGAACGGCAGCTGGAGGGCGGGCAGGAGACCTGAGGGCATCTTACGGGCACCAGACACCAGCGTTTCAACAGCTGAATACCAACCCAAATTTATAAAGAAACAGAAATTAATAAAATATGCTCATAACAGTGTTTGCACATCTGTAAACCACGACTCCTTAGGAAGAACAATCCTGTGCTATTTATTGTAAGTATTCTGCTACAATACACAGGCTTTGACAACGTGTGAGCCAAATCCTTGGTGCCACTCATTTACTAAGGCCTTGATTCTGCAAAGTGTGTGTATGGACAGCAGAGTCAAGTCTGGGTGCCTGGCCTGCCTTAAACGCGCTTGCTCAGGTACAAGGACGGCACAGAGCATCGCGTGGGTCAGATTGACCTGCTTCTCCACTCACGTGTGTACTTGCATCTGATCCTGCAGGACGGCATTCGTCTGGGCTGTGCTAGAAGAGCAGCATGTATGTCCTTGCAGGCCCAGGTGGACTGGAAGAGCAGAGGTTTTGCCCTGCTGTATTGTGCCATGGCCAACGTAAAAAAAGAGAACTTATGGCTAGAGCAAATTGTTGCTGGGGTGTCAGCAGAGGTAACAGATTGCTCGCAGCTATGGTCACATCTCATACTCATTTCGGTAGGGGTAGCACCAGTTATTGTTACACAGCACAGCTCCATCTGCATGAATTTCCATGCAGGTTTATATCCCCATTGAAATAAGTAATCCCGTGGCAGGTGAGAGAGCTTGGCTAGGTTTCCTCTAGCCCCAAACCTTCAAATTTAACCTTGGAGAGTCCATGAAGAAATCATAACAGACATTGGGAGAGTGAAAAGCTAAAGGCATTGGGGGAAAGGGCCCTTTCCTTCTGATTTTTAAGTTAAAAAAAAGGGAATTCACTCTGTTCTTTTTTTTTTTTTTTCTTTACAGAATATTTCAGTCCGCAGTGTTACTGGAGAGGTTTACTGTGCCAAATCAGGCAGGAAATTTTCAGGACAAATACAAGAAAAATTTCTTATCTCTGACTGGAGATACGTGCTCTCTGGATCTTACAGGTGAGATAAGCCATTGCAGTTCATGTCTAGGTGCTCTTCTATGATTTTTAATATTCACAAAAAAGTGCCATAGAAATTTTTGTACAGGTGAGAAGTTTTTTTGAACAAAAACCCTCATGTTTTCAAATATGTGCCATTTGTCAATAATCCATTTAACTTGCTTTAAAGCTGATGTTAGTTCTTTATGGAGCGTGGTATTTAATTTAAATGTTCAGAAACTAACGTAAACAACTTTGCCTGTGCAGCCCTGGAGCAGAACTAGAAATATGTGTAGCTTAATATTATGCTTTCCTCATTGTTTGGGTCCTCAGATGCTGTGATCATGAGCACGATACATTTCCGTCTCCCTCGGGATCCCTTAATGTAGCATATGTCACTCAGCTTATCTGAGGATTTGTTCTCCATATGACAAGTTTAGTGATTAAAGGGAAAACAATTTTTTTCTTGTGTTTCATTAACAGGTAGGCAGTATGTGTCTATGCGACTGTTGTACCTTCCCTGATTTTTTTCCTTTTTTTTTTCTGTGAGCTTAGTCTGTAACTGTCCGCTTTTGTGCTGCTATAATTATTTCAGGTAGAGGATGTAGCATCTCAACAACTGTGTTTTTGATTAAGATCCAAGATCCTCATGTCAGGGAGTTTCAGAGACTCTGAGCTTGCATCAAATAAAGTTCCTACGCCTCATGGCTACATAGATAAGCTTCACAAATAACCGAAGTGTATCCTAGAAATCCAGATACAAAAAGACGAGAGAAAAAAATTACAGAGGTGATTATTTAATTAAAAGGATGAGATTGTTTTTCTTAATCCCAGTTTATGATTTGGAGGCTTAAATGCCTCTAGTCCGATCAAACTGTGCCACCAGGAAGATTACATAACCATAGTAAGGAAGGTAAAGGTGGATGCGTGGGGTTAGCACAGGCTGCCGGGGCTCAGCTGTCCACAGAGGCCGGCATCCAGTTTTCATTCAGTTTCCAGATAAACCATCAGACAAAAATGAGTGAACACTCAGAGTGGGGTTTTTTTTATTGGCCGCGCTATAGTTTTCTTGTTCTTTCACGGTTTTTTTTAATCCCTCCCCAAAGGTGTGTAGAAATGGAACAGCAGATTTATAGAGAGAGTAGAAGTGAAGGATGAGTGGGAGAAGAGGGACAGAACAAGATCTGTTTTCTTTAGCAAGGAAGCTTCCTTTTGGCTTCTCTTTTCAATCCTAAAAAAATAGAAAAACCCTTGAAGTCCTGTGCGGAGTCACTTCTGTCATTCTCTAGTGCTGTTGCAATATCTTCTAACCTCAAGAGCCTTGTCAAACTACATAATCCCCTATCCAGCAAGGAAGCAGAGAGGGTGGTGAGGAACAAATCTATACAGTATTTAATTTCAGCATGCTCAGCACCAGTTTGCAGATTCACATGGGTTACAGCTGGCTATCAGTACGTGGCATTTCTGTAGGCTTGCTAGCTCTCGCTTTATTAATCTGAAAGTTTTCTGTTATCCCTAAACCTTATCCACCAACCTCTGCAGGTATAAACAGGAATGATTTTGAGTAAAGCAGACTCAAACTCTTCTGCAATGCATTTGTTGGAAATCAAATTGGAATAGATCTTAAAACTAACACAACAGCAAATTTCACCTAAGTGCTTGTGCTCTGCATGACTTTGTAATAGCGGTTGGGGGAAAAGGCTGAGGAAATAAAATAACCCTTCAGGACATACTGCTCTAAAAGGGACCCTGGCTCACTGCTTCTAGCCAAAGTGTTTGGGGACAAAATATATTTGCCTAATGGACAACAAGAGGACTGAAGCTGGCAACTAGTTAGAGGCAAAGGAACCACCACTGAGTCTGTGGCATCTCCTGCTCTGGAGTGGTTTTTAAAACCATGTTAAAAAGCCATTGCTTGGGTCAGTGTGGATAAGTGTGGTCCTGCCTGCCACACAGGGCAGGCTGGAGATGAGAAGCTTCTGAAGGCTGTTCCAGCCATGTGTCTGCACAAGTGCAGGCATGAGTAAGTGTTTTAAGTTACAGTTTTCCTCTCAATTTTTATTGCCAATGTCTATGGTGTGGGATTCGGATGCAGTATTTTGTTTTGCTGTCTCTGTGTTATGCTACTCCGTCCTATGATAACTGTATTATTCCTTTTTTTTTTTAAATTAATTTGAAGTTAGATAGTGCACGGACTCGGTGCTCCTAAAGAAGGCAAAATGAAAACAGCAGAAAGCATAGACCTTGATCCTTAGGGGCAGCTGAATACCTCCCCGGCTGCCACTCTGAAAGCCATCAGCCTCTTCAGAGTCAGTATCCAACACCTAACACTGGGATGCTTTGCCGAGAGCATTGGTTCAGGTGGTGCCAGTTTCTCATGCAGAGGTTATCCCACCAGCAGGCAACACTAGCACGTAGGTTAATTCAAACCTGCGCTCAGCTGAAAAACCCAGTCCTTCCGTTTCAGATTAAATGCGTGTAACGCTGCATGTTACTGTAGCACAGTAAACACAAGGGATGAGAGCATCCCTAATGAACTGCAGCTGCAGTAATGCAGAGGGTAGACTCAGAAAAAAACAAGTCCAGTGCAAATGAAGATTGGACAGGAGAGGTGGGTTTTGATGCAGACAATCATAGATGAAAGGATGCGGAACAGAACAGGGACAAAGCCCTGCAAAGATGGCTGAGAAGTACCTATTAATGACTGAATTTGTGATACAGCTTTGGCCCCCAGCTAGGCAGTACTTCTTTGTGCTTTCTCTTCTTTCTGATGTGCTTCACTCAAAGAGACCTGGTAGAAGAATGATCCTTCTGGGCAGCTAGTGACAATAACAGACTTCTCTAAGCCTTTCCCAAAAGAGCACTTGGAATTGTAAACTAAGGAGCAAAACAGGGCCTAAAACCTAAACAATGAATTTCCTCTTAGAAGAAGCCAATGAAAACCTGTTAAGTCTTTATGTCAAGTTCTGCTTTGTTCTTCAGCAAAGTGCACAGAGTGTAAATTGCTGTGACTCACTACACGAGGCCCACAAATGTTTGTCTAAAATCACGCAGGTCTCACCTTGTTACTTTACAGCTGACCCATTTGCCATCAGTCCATGGGGAATATTTGGGCTATTAATTGGATCCAACTTTCTCTGCTTGCACAGAAGTTACAGATAAGATCGATGAGCCCCAAATGAGTATCTGTCCGTCAGGTACTCCAGAAAGTTACATGTGGGAGTAAATTATCAAAATTGGGTGCAACAGTTTTTCCTCTGATTATGTTGGGTTTTTAAAAGGCATTTATAAGTGTAATTGATTTTTATTTCTCTCTAAATTTTCTTTTATAAACTAGATCTCTCTCTAGCACATAAAGTATAAACCTGCCACTCCACACCTCAGCCCTTTCATGAGTTTGTAACCTTCAGCGTAGATATCCCAGACTAACTGCGCATGTTTTTGTATTTGTTCCTGGCTTATTATCTCCTTAACAGTTAGACAAAGGACCTGCAAAGGTTTAGAGAGTGCTTCTTAGTGAATAAAGGCAATGTTGAGCTAGCACAGCAGATGTTACCCACGCAGCAGGGAGTTACCTTGCTGTGCTGTTTACCTCAGCTCCCAAGGTTTTGTCCATATTTAGAATGATTTGAACAAAGTGGATGAGAAGTACCTGTATTCTAGTAACTTAGTGTATATTTTCATGTCCAATCATAAAATGTACAGTATATATTGTAGGATTGCCCGGTGGCATTGAACTAGTGATTTCTTCACTCCTCCCCTTGCTCCTGAAGCAACAGTGTAAAACCACTGTATGCCTCAAACCCAGCCCTCTTTAAGAATGCTCCGAACGGGCAGATGTAAATCGTCTGATTTTATTCCCTTAGCATCAGCTCAGGCTGTCAGTCCCACTGAGTTTCACAGGAGTTTTGTCAAAACATGACAAGAACAAGATTTAAAGTGCACACACCTACAGCCAAATCTGGCTCTCAGCAATCCTTGTGCAAAACAGCATAGCTAATAAAGTCACGGAATAACCGGGGCAGAGTTTTGCCAACACAGAATAACCTCGGGTTCAAATCCAACGCTGCTCTGTATCCTCTGCTGCACAGCTCGAGCCCCGGTCAGCTCAGGGAGTAATTACATTTCATTCTCTCAACTATGCTCATTTTATTGATGCCGCTGCTGCTCAGACAAGGCAGCCTGCACAGCACAACCAGGCTGGCTTGTGGTTTTGTAAAAGAGCACAAATTTATGTTTACTAAGTGGATTAGGGAAGCACATAAAAGAAAAATAATTTAAAAGCTATGGGGTATCCTAAGGTGTGTCTCTGGACTACCAGAATGAATACTATTGCAGTGTTTCTCCCTTCAGAGCAAAGTAGCATTTTTATTTTTGGAAAGGCTGTAGGAAATATTTATAATTTCGTTTTCTCTGTAGTGAAGAAAATAAGCATTTTTCAGGTGTGGTGGTTTGTTTTGTGGGAGTGGGATGTGACAGTGAGGTTGGGTTTTTATGTGTTTCTCTTGACCAATGCAGAAAAAGTACGGGAAAATGAAAACAAAGGATGGTTATTTTTCACTAGTCTTTCTAATGAGAGTTACCAGCTGGCACAGCATTCTGCAGGGAAGCTACAATTTATGTGTGTGCAGACAAGACAAGGTAAGACCTTAATTTAAGCATTGTGCGTGGAAGAGAGGTACCCAGAATAGGAGTCTAAACTCCTTTCCATGGAGCAGACACCCAAACCTCGGGTATTGTATCTGACATTTAGTCTTGCAGTGGATCTGGATCACCACTCCCTTTAGGAGGTTGTATAACTTTACAAGGTTTCTTGAAGGTTTTAGAGGCAGCTGCAATAACAAAGCTTGATCGCAGTCAAAGAGCGCTGATGTGAACTGACCTGAAATTCAACTGTGACACCATCTTCATCCTGTGTTTAGACAAGAAGCTTCGGCAGTAAAACGCATTTGCCTTTCGCACCACCCCTGCGGGGATATCCAGTTCCTAATGGCTGACGTTAACGCTAGCCCTTACCTTGTTTCTCCTTCCAGCTTCACATGGTTATGCGGCCAGGTTCACCGCAACCTCCTCTCCAAGTTCACGGGTCAAGTTGTGGAGCTGTTTGATGAAGAGTTCCGACACCTTTACGCACTGTCCAAGCCAGTGAGGGGACCGAAGTCTCCACCGCGCATCATGCCCTTCCTGTTCAGCAAGAGCTGGGCCCCCCAGCGCAGCCTCCCCGACAGCAACGAAAAAACCTCCCGCAGCCTCTCAGCCGCCAGCCCCCACCAGAGCAAGCAAGCCCCAAGAACTCTCATGTTCAGCAGCAACTTAACCCCCACGTCACCTCTCCATAGAGTTAATTCCTTCCACAGCTATGTCTCATTCACACCCCCACCACAACAGAAGGCCGTCCAGGCTAACTACTATCAGCCGCAGTACATGGCCGATAACTCCACAGTTCTGTATAACAACATGAACATTTACAGACCTATAAGAATTAGACAAGAGGAACCAAACAGGACAGGGTTAAGCTCACCCTGGAGATGCCTCCACAAAGCTAACCTGTTTGCATAATAACCACCTTGTTTTGAATTGCAAGTAAATGTAGTGAGGACCTGTTTAGCAATCGCTTGTGTACTGATGAATATAGAAATTCTGTATAATACAAAATGAGGATGATTTCAAGCCTCTTGTTTTGTTTTGCTGCTTATGGATGCTTCCTTTCCCTAATTAAAAAGCCAAGCCTGCTAACATGTAAACCTTGGGTGCATCACGATCCCAGGAAGAACACATCTACATAATGCTGCTCACAGTGCAACACTGGTGTTGCCTATCACCTGTCCTTGGTAGCATATTTGTGTAGCAGTAGATTTAGGTGGGTAACTGGTTTTGATATGGCCAGGCACCTGAAAGTGGTAAGTCACAGTTTATTCCTATGCGTTTTATGCACTTGTGTAAGGAGACTGAAGGCTGCTATTTACGTGCCAAACCGAGGCGATGCTGGCAGCAGCAGTCTACCTTTGTGCTGTCATTGCACCTTAATCTTGATTTAGGAGGACTCCTTTAGGGCTGATGGGGAAGCACAGTTTCCGCCATCGCGCTGTCTCCGAGCTGACTGCTTGAGGTGCACGGCAAGGACATCTGTTCGCAACGTTTCTAGGAGGGGGCCTGCGAACCGTGACATGGACTGAGACCAACAATTCGGGTTACAGAGGACATCTTGCAGCCGCCTTACGCTCACTTCCACTCATTAGCAACATGGGTGTGTTCCAGCACAGGTTGTAACAAACCTCCAGTCCCACCAGCTCAGAGCAATTTTCCTTGTTGCAGAGCAGCTGCGTAGATTCCGACTGGAAAATGAAGCTGAATAAAGAAGCAAAGTCCTACTAGTAACTCAGCAGGACTGAGTTCCAATTCGTTTAATAGCACATGGATCTTAGAAATCCTCTCAGTGGTCATTTGATTGAACGTTAAGTTAGAGATAACGATGCTTTATTTCAGAGTTCTTCAAGGTTTCTAATTTTTAGAGAGAAACTGGGTATCTGTAGTGCCCATTGAATACAGAGGGAGTTACAGAGGTTCAG